TGCTCGCTCTTGGTTTTTCTTGTGTCTTTTTCTCGATTTTCTACGTTTTTCTTGTCGGTGGTGGCCTACAGGTCAGGTAGTTCGATTGGAAAGTGACTATGCGAAAATAACTATCTAGGCGGACGAGTTGGGGTCGAGTAGGAAAAGACGGAATCTAATTCCGAGCCCGAATGCGTTGATACGAGTCCGGAAATCACGTGCCCAGCTCCCAGTTTTACTCACCGCGGCCGCGGGAGAGGGAGTCGCGGCCGCGGGATGCCCGATGACAACACAGGCGACAGAGCTGAAAAGTCGCGGCCGCGGGATGAAGTCGCGGCCGCGGACCTTCCCTTCACCGCGGCCGCGGGACATGTCGCGGCCGCGGAGTGCGCGTTTCCAGCAGTTTAAAGTAGCAGTTTTCTTTTATTTTGGGGGTCGTTTTTTTGAACGCTAGGTTTTGAATTCCCTCAGTACTTGTCTTGAAAAACTCATACTTTTCCTCAGATTTGATCTTGTGATTCAATCTTTGAGAGAAAAACTCCGAGATTCGACTTGTGGATTCGGTTTGCTCTTGTTTTCGACATTGGATTTGTTAATCGTAAGCTTTCTTTTAGTTTTATTATTGATTGAATGGCTTCGATTATGATGTTTGCTGATGTTGAATGCATTATGAGTAACTAAACCCATTAGCTAGGGTTAGGGGAAGATCATTCCGGTTCGATTTCGTTTATATGCATGATAATTGTTCAATCCTCTCGAGTTGTGCTTAGCCTAGGGTTTTTGATGTTTGATCACCATCTTAATCTAGTTAATCGATTTTATAACTGAAAAGGGAGAAATCATTCGATCTAGGCTCGTTAGGAGTAAGCTTGTTCGTAATAGTATTGCTTATGTGTTGATTGTCTCAAGAATTACTCGTTTATGTCTATCCTCTTGTTACGAAGAGTTATTGAGGATAGATCTCTAGATGAATAGTTTTGTGAGGCCTTTAACTGAGCTTTTGATTGCTCATTAAGTGCATTGAGAACCGGAATTGATTGACCCTGATACCCTAGCTCCATTATAATTGATTGAGTTTGAACTTGAAATTCCTAGTTTTGTCTAGTTTTTCTTATTGCTTGTTCTTTAATTCGTAGTTGATTAATATTAAACCAAACCAATCGAATTTAAGTGTTTAGGACCTTTTCTTTTATTATTTGGTGTGATTGAATATACGTACAGAATACTCTGGCTGACCTTCCTCGTGATACGACCCGGTGTCGAATCTTTGGATTCTACTCCGGTTAAAATTATTTACAACAGAGAGCGCTTGAATTTGAGACTTTGATTTTTGAGATGTGTTTTGAGGTGTGATTTGTGGCATTGAATAGGTGTAGGAGAGAGAGTCTTGGAAAAGAAGACTTCAATTTGATTGGTCCTTCATGATTTGACATAATCTCTTTCCTTATCCTAAGATCTCTTTCTTTATCCTAAAATTTGACTTGGTGAGCAAGAAACAATTACTTTATTAATTAATATTTTATTTATCTTGGATTTATGTCCCAAAATAAATAAAGACATTAATTAATAAAGTATTAAAATTTCGATGTCTACAGCATATTCCTAGCATAAGTCTTAGTCATGGAAAGAGATATTTATCAATATTTATAAATTAAAAATATGAAATTAATATGTACTACAATTTAAGTATGTTAATTTATTGAAAATGTTATATAAAATTTAAATTGTGCAAAATTACATAATGATATCCATTTAAATTTATTACACAACTCGTGTGGTGCACATAACTAATAATAAATTACATTATACAGTTTTGCTATAGAGCCATTGGATGGCTCGACTTATGGAGTCATCCACATTTATTTATCAATAGTGTATTAACACGTGTCATGCAATAAATACAACTTGAACATGTGTCATACATTAAGTGGCGGATGACTCCATAAGAAAACCATCAGATTGCTCTATAAAATTTTTGTTACATTATATTGTTTAAAAATAAGTGTCAGTTTGAAATTTTTATTCAAAAATCCGAGATTCCATAGAGAAATTATTTTGATAAAATTTTATTATATATTTAACAACCGTTGCGAATAATAAGTATCAATATTAAATTTATATTGTTTCACTTTTTTTTCGAAATGATAAAAATATTATAAAAATGCATAAATGTGCAAAATAATAGCCAAAAGCTGAATACAAACAGCCAAAAGTTGAATACAAAATGATAATATTGTTTCATTATTTAAAATAAATTTATTTTTCTATAAATTATTCAAACCAAAAAAAAAAAAATTATATAGTTGAGTAATTTATTAAAATATAAATAATTGACTATTTCGTTACGTCCAAGTTAATATTGTTAATATTGACCCGTAAGTTATTGAGTAATTTATTAAACTATAAATAATTGACTATTTCATTTACGTCGAAGTTATTATTGACCCATAAGTTATAAATAATTATTTTTTAAATTTTTTATTTAAATAAAAATCTTTTTATTTTTTTAAATATATTATATACCCAATTTAAAATCATAGAACTAATAAAGGTAACAGCCGCAAATTTTGTCAATTTGCTATATTCCAAATTTAATCATGCAATCTATTAATATATAAAAAGACAATGATATTTACTTCAAATAGCAACTAAAAATAAGCAAACAAAAAAATAATTTCCCACCTAAAGTGTTTACTATATTGAGTAATATTTTTGGCCAAATTTAAAAAATTCTACCTAAATTAATGTAATTAATGTAAAAAATCATTCTAGTCGAAACAAAAAAAAAAAAACCATCGTCTCTCTCTCTACCCTAATTCCCAAATCACGTCGGCGCAGCTTCCTCTATTTCGCCTTTGCTTGGCCTTCCTAGGCGACGGCGGGGCTCCGGCTTTCAGTCGTCCTCGACCGATTAGCCCTCCCCGTTGTCGATTGCCTCGGTTTTGGCTCCTTTTGGCAGTTTCGGAGATGTTAGTCGCTAGCCATCCTTCTCTTTTCCAGGCGGGGTTTCCGAGCTCGGGTCATCGTTCTGGTCCGTGGGTGCTGTTGGTGAGGGCGTCACAGTGGTGTTGTTGGCGTCGTCATCGCTCTGGTCCAGCCGGGGATTGTGGGTTCGGAGGTTTGCGATGTCGCGACTCTAGTTCTGTGTCAAGGGGGGTGTTTGGTCGGGGTGTGGGCCGGTGGGGGGGGGCCTTAGTTTCGACGTCCAGGCTCTGGTGTTGTTGACAAATTGTTCTTTCTAATAGTCTCTCTTTTTTTTCTTTTTCTTTTTTTTTTCCTAGAAATTGAACTACCAACATTCACTTCAACCGATTAAAACGATGTAAAACCGATCAATCAAGATATATCTTGACATCGATACCATTATCAATGAGTGACTGAACAACCGCCCTAATTTTCCGTTCAAACTTATCCCTTTCCCTCGGAGTATAAGAATCCGTGTACACATCAACTTCCCGGGCCCTATCTGAAAGAATTCGCCCCACGACCAAACAAGCGGGTATATCTGAACGGGATTTGAGTGCAGCCTTAATATCTTTTGAGTTGGTACTGGCAACAACAACCTGCTTGCAGGTCACCCGGTGGGTTATTGAAGCTGACACAAATCGTTTTGAGTTGAAAACATCGAGCGTGAACGGCTCCATGTAGGCTACAGTTCGCTGCTTGAAAGAAACGTGCTTGTTTGGAGTCTTGGATTTTTTCTCCTTTTGGTAAGTGTAGGGTCGGCTATTGTCATCATCGAGAAAATCCTCCACGCCAAAGAAGCTTCTTGGTGACAAAGAAGTCTGAAAGAGAATGATACCATTTGACGAAAATCAAAATAAGAGCTTTGTGGACGCGTACACTTCAGAAAACCGATATCGATATTAAGGAAATGCCAATGCTCACACAAAATTGCAACAGTTGATATTCACCAATTCGAGGTGAGCAAGAGGTATAGTTTGGATAGGCTTCAAAAGGTGAGCAATTACTGACCATTTTTGTTTTTTCCGAATACATGTTATTTAGTAAACATTGTCTACTCTCAATCTTGAAATTTTCAACATGTCAGTCTTTTTATGAAAATAATCAGCCAAAAGTCACTGATTGTAAGCCCCAAGTAGTAAAATGTGCATTTCCAAAGCGATTTGTGTTGCAATCGACGGCAAACAACACTAAAAATTGATGACAGTACTCAAATTCTCACCTGACTAGAATGAAAACTACTAACTTGGGATGAAGACATCATTTCAAACAACACCAACATTTGATGACAATACTCAAATTCTCACATGACTAGAATGAAAACTACTAATTTGGGATAAAGACGTCCTTTTTCCACCTCCATTAATTCGTGCGCATAGCTTTCGATACGATAGTCTCAGCATCGCAAAAGATCCTAAAACAGAAAAACAAAAAGAATGTCCTTCAATCAGTTGAAACAATTCCAGTCAAAATTGACACAAACATAATCAACCGACAAAATGGACTTTTTTTTGAACTTAACCACACAATTAACATCACTTTCGTCGTTCAAGCATTACATCGAACAGGTTTTCTGCACTCAATAAGCTAACCCAATTTTATTTGAAGCCATCAACGTTAAATCCATGAAAAAGACCCATTTTCCTTCCCCTCCAAAATGGGGGAATATTTAGAGGGGAGGGAAAATAAATCACTAGAACTAAACCTACTGATTGCCAATAAACTGAAAATGAAAAGGACCTGCACGCAGGAAGGCGGATGAAGAGGAGGAGGACGGCGGACGGGAGTTGAGGTGGTTGTTCTCGACGGAGCTGGAGGAAGAGACGACGATGTGATCTTTACCCAACGAGGTTTGTATTTTTGTTGGTTTTTTTCCCTTTGTTTGTTTGTGTTTTATGATTTTATCTGTTGTGTGTTTTTTTAGTGTGCATACTAATACATTTTTTATCGTTTAAAACTAAAATACGGGTTGCCCCTGGGGCATGTAGTCCCATGGCTAATGGTGGAGGTGTAAAAACCTTTGAAACCAGAGGTCGTGGGATCGAACCCAAGTATCGTGGGGTGTATAGATGGCGCACTATGAACCTTCTCGGAGGATTAGTCCCATGCCTTGCTGTGTGGATCCCCTAGGCCATAGACCGAAAGGCTGGCAGTTTGTGGTGAAGTCACTGTATGGATGTGGGGATACCTCCCAGTCGAAAAAAAAAAATGCGGGTTACTTTTTATATCGTCTTGTGTTATTTAATCTCTATCCAAATTAGTCCCTCACACCTATCTATTTGCAATGCATGATCTTTTTATGCCTCTCTCAAACCCACCTAAAGCTCTTCTTGATGGAGTCCTCTGTTTGCCTTCGACCGTGTAAGCTAGCGACCCGATTTTTCCTCTTCAACTCGGGATTGCAAAAGCACCATCTCTTGGAAGCTACTCCATTAAAAGACTTCCTTTTCTTGAACTTCCCCCGCGCTTCACCGCCACCGAGAAATCGACAATCCACACTACTGCCATGACCTAACATTTTTCTCTTCTTGAATAAACATGTTCATATTCGTAACTTTTGTTTTGTTTGGTAAAAAATGTATTATTACCGTTAATTAAGGTATGGAGTCTCGAGGTTTGTGCTTCTCCAGGTCAATGCAATAAGTCACCAATATTACTACTTAATGGGGCTCCCACCAAGACAATCACAATATACACTAATAAAAGACCCATAGCTACAGATATGACTGCAAACACAAAGCTTTACCCCAGTAGTTCATTTCACAATTCAAATTGACAAATTATTCTTTCTAATAGTCTCCCTTTTTTTTCTTTTTCTTTTTTTTTTTTTTATTTTTTTCTGGAAATTGAACTACCAACATTCACTTCAACCGATTAAAACGATGTAAAACCGATCAATCAAGATATATCTTGACATCGATACCATTGTCGATGAGTGACTGAACAACCGCCCTAATTTTCCCTTCAAACTTATCCCTTTCCCTCGGAGTATAAGAAGCCGTGTACACATCAGCTTCCCGGGCCCTATCTGAAAGAATCCGCCCCACGGCCAAACAAGCGGGTATATCCGAACGGGATTTGAGTGCAGCCTTAATATCTTTTGAGTTGGTACCGGCAACAGCAACCTGCTTGCAGGTCACCCGGTGGGTTATTGAGGCTGACACAAATCGTTTTGAGATGAAAACATCGAGCGTGAACGGCTCCATGTAGGCTACAGTTCGCTGCTTGAAAGAAACGTGCTTGTTTGGAGTCTTGGATTTTTTCTCCTTTTGGTAAGTGTAGGGTCGGCTATTGTCATCATCGAGAAAATCCTCCACGCCAAAGAAGCTTCTTGGTGACAAAGAAGTCTGAAAGAGAATGATACCATTACACATAAATCAAAACAAGAGCTTTGTGGACGCGTACACTTCAGAAAACCGATATCGATATTAAGGAAATGCCAATGCTCACACAAAATTGCAACAGTTGATATTCACCAACTCGAGGTGAGCAAGAGGTATAGTTTGGATAGTCTTCAAAAAGCGAGCAATTACTGACCATTTTTATTTTGTCTGAATACATGTTATTTAGTAAACATTGTCTACTCTCAATCTTGAAATTTTCAATATGTCAGTCTTTTTCTGAAAATTATCGATCAGCCAAAAGACACTGATTGTAAGCCCCAAGTAGTAAAATGTGCATTTCCAAAGCGATTTGTGTTGCAATCGACGTCAAACAACACAAAAAATTGATGACAGTACTCAAATTCTCACCTGACTAGAATGAAAACTACGCAATTGGGATGAAGACATCATTTCAAACAACACCAACATTTGATGACAATACTCAAATTCTCACCTGACTAGAATGAAAACTACTAATTTGGGATAAAGACGTCATTTTTCCACCTCCATTAATTCGTGCGCATAGCTTTCGATACGATAGTCGCAGCATCGCAAAAGATCCTAAAACAGAAAAACAAAAAGAATGTCCTTCAATCAGTTGAAACAATTCCAGTCACAATTGACACAGACATAATCACAGACATAATCAACCGACAAAATGGACCTTTCATGAAATTAAAAAATTAAGCTTTCATGAACCTTTCCAGCAGAAGCCATCAAGCTATATGCTGAAACTCAATGAAAATATAGAAAAACTAGTACAACACCCGTGTATTACACGGGTGCTTGTTAAAGAATTATTCTTAAATTTTAAAATTAATGAGAAAACTATATTAAATTTAGTTAACTTTTTTTAAATATAAATTATTTTTTTTATACATACAATATGGATGTTAAATCGAAGCTCATCAAAAGAAGATTAATTTGATATATTACATATGTAAAACTGATAAAAAATACAAAAGTTATTAATTTTTAAAATATATATTAAGTTCAATAGTTATAATAAGGAATGATATTAAAATACAATTAATACATGTAACATGACCATAAATAATCAACATATTTATGGTAACCCGAACCTAATTATTTTTTGTTTAGAATTAAATTAAAATTTACCCAAGCCTAATAACGAAGCATGTAATTTTGCCACATAGGATTCCGAAGCACCAGAAACAGCCACGTAGGCTCAGCGCATTCTGTATTAATATATAGGGGGGATAACACTGAAGCAACAACGAACAAGCACTCCTAAGGAAAAAAGAACACTGATTACACGAATAGGAAGATGAACCTTGTTGAGAAGCCATAAGTGAATATTTCATCATCAACACATAAAATATGCAGAACCCTTTTCAAATGGTATGAAGGTCATATTACATGCTTAACAAGATAGTCCAATGGAGGACTAGCAATCCATCTACCTGATGATATTATAGGAGTAAAAAGATCAATAGAGACACCCACTACCCAGAACTTGAAAATAGTAACTGTCACTCAGTTAATGGAGAATTATTAGAACAGAAAGCTACAAACAGCAATGGAGAAATCCAACATCAAAGAAAATGTATGGTATACCACATTATACAAGGCTCGTCTGAAAGATCAATCCAAGAGAATTAGTAATATACAGGAGGCTAGTTTCTTTAACCACATAGTTCCTGAATACAAGAGATCAATACCCTCTACCAAAAATGTGAAACGAAGCTACTAATACACACACAAACACAAACTACAAGGGGATAAAGATATGAGTAATCTGAGAAAAAATATGTCAGCAAGCCAGTTAAGAATATAAGATGGAAGCAAGCAAGAAGAAAGCTTTTAAAGAAGCCTATGAGAGTACCTTTAGCAGAAAAGTTGCATATCTGTGTAGATGTACCCAATAAACCCCTCCTCATAGGTTCCTGAAACATCAATACAACCAATATAATAATTGTGCAACCATGAACCAACAACCATTCCCTAACACCCCAGCCAATTTAAGCCTCATATTCCTTTCTTTCCTTTTTGACACACCAAACAACTAAAAAGGTTTTCATAAATAGACAAATTTTATCTTTCTAAAAATGTCACCTTTGGTCATAATAAAGGTCATTTTCGTTCTGTTACAAATTGCCCCCATTAACAAGTTCATTCCACTCACTTTTCAAGGAAAAAGAACAAACAGATTAAAAAATCTATCATTCGAACTCTGCAACTAAACACAAAACTTCCAAAAGAAAGAGAAGAGCAACAAGCTCGCTATAACACACACACACACAAACAGCAGTGAAATTCGCGTGAAATTTCTCACAGCACGAATTGCATAGGCTCGGGCCAACAATTGGTATACGCTTAACTGTGCTTCATATTCTAGTGAGAGGAGCTGAGACGCATAGGAAATAAGTTTGTTTTAGAAATTGGAGGGGTTTGCTTTGTGTTAGGGTTTATGTGTGTTTCCCTCCCTTTTCAACTTTCTTTTACGGAGGTAGGAGAGATGAAATTAAACTAGTAAATCAACTGGTGGGTTTGCTTTGTGTTAGGGTTTATGTGTGTTTCCCTCCCTTTTCAACTTTCTTTTACGGAGGTAGGAGAGATGAAATTAAACTAGTAAATCAACTGGTGGCATTTGGAGAAGTGCTTAGAAAATATAACAATTTAAAAAAAAAAAAAGAAAAACAAAAATACATAATCATAATTTAACTCATTGAAAAAAATATGAATTAAGAAATTAATCTAAATATTATTAAATACTTTTTTTATATAACATTCATTATTTTTTCAACGTCAGAAATACCATCACCACATATCATTATCCTCGAAATTGTTCGATTCGTCACTTTAGAAACAACAACGTACAACTATCCGTGACTGGAAACAGCGTTCTTCAAGATTAAGCCGACGTGTGAGAAAGACTGGTCTTGACTGTTGTTGATCATCAGATATGGACGAACCTCGAATATTACTTGGTCACCGAGATCAATTCTGACTAAGAACAGTATTCGAGACGAAGTCCTCAGTTGTGGAAGGGCGTAATGTGAACCAACTGGCTTCTTCGGGGGTGGTAAGCTTGACAATGAAACTGAAAAATCGTGGATTATTATTTCAAAAATAAAAATAAAATGAAACAGTGATTAATGGTGAACGCATTTGTTGTGAAAATTGTCCTCTGATCCGACTTGAACTGCAATCCACTAATTTGAATCGTCCTAATGCCTTCAATGATATGCAAAATGCCGGGAGGGGTCCCAACAGAAATTACTCCAACGCCCAAGACAGTTTACGTTCAACAATAATGTAGTAGTAAGATACTTCGAGCGTGTATGTGAGTTGTGTAAAAATAAGAATTTGTATCCTTTTTATAGTTGAAGTTGTGTGTTTGGCCAAATGGCTCCTAGTACGACCAAAATTCTTCCATACCCTACTTCCCAACAATTAAATTTTTTCTAGATCTTGTAGAGTCCAACATGGCGCATACCCCTCTTCAAAATGAGGGTTGCAGTCTCCTTACTCCACACATCTTGAACCAGACGTTACTCCTACGATCTCAAGTCCATCTTGACGGTCATGGATGCGCCAAGGTCGTCCCATGTGTTGTTCTTAGAAACAACACCCTCCTGTCGACCTTGTTAAAGGTTTTCTTCAATCCCTCATGTCGTGTTGTCGTATCCCTTCGCTCAGCTATCCCCCTTAAAGCTTATTACCTATTGGTTTCTTTCAACCAACTTTTAGGTCAGGTTTCCAAATCAATCATTGTCGGTATGTTATAACCGAACAACCCTAACCAGTATCACAACATTTTAGAAGCTGAATGATAAGGCCGAGCTCGACCCATAACTTTCTACGAACCACTCCACTCTGGGCTATACCAGTATTGACAAAATAAATATTCAAAAACTATATCAAAGAATAAATATATATACATATGATTTCAAAATTGTTGTATAAATCATTTAAAATTACCCTTGATAACTTCATCAATGGGCGTTCCAGGTGTCTCATTTTCTTTGTCATCTATTAAAAGGTCATAAAGTGGAATAAAGTCACTAAAAAACACTAGTAATGTCGAATATGGAATTATTTTGGCACAGACGTTGAGGACTTATGATTGCAAACCCTAGCAATACATAGATGATGGGTCTCTTCTCAGATCTGGCGTGAACCGATGGAAAACCGCCCAGATCCGAAATGAACCGATGGGAACGAGCTCAGATCTGACTTGATAGCCTCCAAACCACTGTCAAACCGCGAGCAAACCCACAAGGACTCAACGCCAGAGGGGTTTCCGGCGTAGAGCCTCCGACGCTCAAGTCAGTATGTAAAAGTGATGAAGGAAGCTGCCCTCAGATCTGCAGCAGTAATCAAAGAGAATATGGAATGCATGAGAGTTAGGGTTTAGGGGTTACCTCAACTCCTTTTATATTAGAACAAGACATTTACCTGGAGTCCCCAAAATGCCCTGGCCGACATACTGGAGATGTCCAAAATACCCTGGTCGGTTCACATTCCGTCCCTCTCCTAGTCAGCATTTAGATTCCCCCTTATCCTTAACATCTTTCCTATGATGTATCAAGTGTACCAAATCGACAAAAGGTCTATAAGCCTCAGGACTCCTTAAGTCGACTCGGGGTACCAATCTCGAGTCGACGGGGTTGTTTTTAGACGTCGGTAGGCCCTGACGTGTTCATCCTTTTTCCGGGGACATTGGCTGTAGCTAGTCGATATTTGAGAGTCGACCGAGGGATACCTGGACCTTTGACTAGAGATATCATAGTTCCTGTGGAGAGAGTCGACTTTGTCTAAGTCGACTCAGTTATTTCCGAACCGTTGGTCATATAAGCCATTATACGACAATATGGCTATATCATCTAGTCCCCCCGAAAACTACTCGAAGCGATTCTGAGCTTAAGAGTAAGGTTTTGCAACTGAGTGTCTCACCCGAATCCTTTTATATACCATGTCGCCTGTCCTTGCTCTACGTCACGTCTGCTCGTTATTTCAACTCATAAATAGACTTGTCTAAATCAAATTTCGAATTGATTGGATAAGTCTGAATCTTTTCAAATTTCAAAATTCAAAAATGGGGTCTTGAGCTTTGAAAAGACGCTTTCTCTCTCCACTGCTTCGTATTCCACGCACCATCTCAACCGTTGAATCTGACTTTAATCTGAGGGCTAGGGTTTCCTCCACTTGCCCTATAAGTATTCTCTCCCTTTCCTCTTCTTCACTTTTCGCACTCAATCTTTCTGAACTCTCTTTCTTCGGCAAAGACATCAGTCTCAAGCTTTCCAGCGCACTTTTCTCATTCCGGCGTTCTACATCAATCACCATGAGTATGAGTAAGTTCTCATTGCCTTTCGATTTACTGTTGTGTGCGATTTTTTTTTTTCTCTTTTTCTTTTGCTTTTCTGGGCGCTGTGCTTGGATTTTTGCATGTTCATCAGATTTTCTGGGAATTTTACACGAATTTCTGGCGATTTTCTTGTTAGATCTTTGATCGTAGATTTTTCACCCCTTCAAGTGTTTTCATTTGTCAGTCGTCTTGTTACGAGGGATTAACTCTTCTCTTTTCACGACTTGGCCTTCATTTGTCAAGTCGAGTTGAAACGAGGAATATTTTCCTTGTTTCTTCTCTTCTTTTTCCTATTGTCGAGTCAATTTACGTGCCCTTTTGGTCCTTTTGTCGACCCTTACACCTTTAAGTCGAATCTCGGTCGTACTCTCCCATATCTATTGATTGTCGTTCTTTTCTTTTTTAGATTCTGACCTCGACCCTATTTCTGATCCTGTCTCGGGTTCTCTCGCCCGTGAAATCGATGGCTATTCGGGTTCGGAGTCTGTCCACCTAATCGATTTGATCCGTGTTATCAAAACACCGAACCAGAGGGTTCTGTTAACTCCAATGCCTTATCCTTCGGTATCGATTGGGATGTGTACAATCAGGCGCTGCTTTCGGGCACACTTTGTGAGGATCCTGAAGTTCCTCGAGCTCTTGCATCTTCTTGCCCCGACTTGATTCCTCGAGGTATTCTTTACTAGGTTCTTCTAGACATCCTTACATATAGGACAAGCCTGATTCATTTGCTGATAGTGACTCCCTTAATCGAGTCTGTAATTGTAGCATATTCCGTGGCACAATTCCTAATATCATTTTCTTATGCTCCTGCAGCCGCAATCGATGGCTTCAGAAAGTACAGTGGCCTTCCCTCTGATTGGGCTTTGGTTGCTCCTGCACCCGAAGACGACTTCCGTTATCCTCCCAAGGGTTGTTTTACTTTCTTTGTGGATCAAATAATGTCGGGCTTGCGTTTCCCGATTCAACCTGAGTTGCTATCGCTGAGCAACCTTTTCAATATACCAATAAATCAGTTCACCCCCAATTCTATTCGAATAATGGTAGCCTTCATAGTTGTTACCCGCATAGTTTTAGGTAATTTTTTGCCCGAGTTTTTCCTTTACTGCTACGGGTATAGATTTAGTAAACACGCCAATTTTCTGGGCTATCGAGTAGGCGTTACTTTCCTTGATGACCTCTCTTCCAATATTACCGAATGGAAGAATAAGTATTTTTTCATTCGACCTGCTTCTGGCCAATATCCCTTTTCGAATGAGTGGATTACCAGCAAGACTAAGCAACGTAAGCGTCCTGATTCCTCGCAGTTCGCGGACATGTTAGAGGAATTAAATAAACATGTGTGGAGCGCTCGTCAGCTGAATAAAGATAGTTCTTACTTAATCATGTTGGTATTTGCATTGACAAAAGTGTTCCTCGACTTAATGATCCTTGTAAGCCTCTTTGTTTATCGTCTTTTGTTCCGATTTGTTTATGGATTGTTTGGCCTCGTGTGTTTTCGTTTATTAGTCTTGGAATGTATGTATGGCTCGCGTGCCGGCTTGTATTAATTTCACACATTTTTTTTTTGTTGCCAGTAAAAGCTTTGGCTCGTTTTCAGAAGAAGAGGCCGAGACGGCCAATGAGTCAGCTGCTCGGGAGCTTGGGGGTGATTCGGGCTCTGTTGCCCCTTCAGCGGCGGTCGAGATGACTGCCGCTAAAAGGTCTAGGGTCGTGCTCCCTGCGGCCCCTACACCGAGCAAGCCGTCGGGTCCCCATTCCCGTAAGAGGCCCCATGATCAAAGGGATAAGATTCTGGCACCCGACTCCTCAAAGCCAAAAAGGGAAAGAGCCAGCAGCCGAGGTCGACGCGAACGCGCCCCTGGCTGGGGAAGACGCGGGACAGCCGTCGCCCGTAAGGGTGCGGTCGGTAACCCTTCAACAACCTTCCCGGCTCTATGATAACCCTGACTCCCTCCAAATCCTCAAC